CCCAGTATCTCACTGTATAGAAAACCATTCTTCAAGCAAACTCAGTCACTGGGTCCCATATACTACCAAGCTAGGAACTGGGTAGGAACTGTTTCTAGCTCTGTGATATCAAGACATCCTCCCAAGCTGAGATTTCTTGTGTGACATCCTTTGGCATGTGGGACATTGCCACCCTAGACCCCCAAAGCAGTGACAGAGATTTCCCAGCTTTTCCTCAAATCACTTGCATGTGCTAGGCTATGGTTGCTTTGGGCTGCTAGTCTCACCCTTTTAGCACAACATGACAGGAAAGAAAGAAACTTGGCCCCAGCAAAAGAAATTCTTAACCACACACATTTTACTCTGAAAATCACTTGAATCCTGAGAAATGCCTCACCTCTAGTCTGCTGTCACCTGCTGCAAAGCTGAAGTTTTCAGGCTGAGCAATGTGTTATAAACAAGCAGTTGGTTGGTCTAAGGACATCGGCAGACAAGGTTCTTTGGATAGATGTTATATTAGTTGGTCTAATACATTAATAAAATTATTAGATAAATTATAATACATCATTAACAAAGTAGTTGGTCTAATAAAAGATATTATATCTACACAAAGAACCTTGTCAGGCTGAGCAGTATCATTCTTGCCCTCTCCTTCAAGTCTTCTTTACATGTAACAATGATCAGCCCTTACCCACAGGAAGCTGCTCCTATGTTGTTGTGTTCTCCAGTCATGCACTCCACTGGGAACTCGCCCTTCTTACAAGCCATTTTGGGAAAGAAGGGGGTGGGGAATAATCAAAATCAGTAGCCTTAGACTGAAGCTTTTGTGGATTCTTAGTGATACCCTTCTTGAGTAAGACAGTTGTCCTGAATGAATTCCAGTAGGCTGCCCTCGGTGGGGTCTAGATATACGCAACAAATAAAAAGTGGAGTTCAAAATGTGAAACAGACATACCCTACTCTGTCACCATGTTCATTAAAGTTTAAGCCAGTATTTTAATAGAAAAATGTCAAACATGCAAGAAGATGAGATGGATGTGTTTTCTAAGAGCAGATAAGATCATAATGAATTGTGTATAGCATGAGCAACTTCCTCTCTTTAAATAATGTACTTATTATTCTCTTCTCTTCATTTCCCTAGCACCCTCAATGTGCATATAGGTGCTCAATAGCAGGTAACATGCGCCTAAAGTAACAGGGAATCCAAAAGAGATTAAAAATATAAATGTGTACAACACAGTATCTCGAGGCTTTTTATTCTTAAACGCCTGTGGATGACGTAGTTATCAGCCAAGCTAGAGTGATTTTGCTCTAGCAAAAATCTAGAGCAAAATCTCTAGATAGGTGTTCAATTCAAGCACTGCAAAATTCTGGGAGGGAAAGGGAAAATGAAGTATTATGGGATACTGGGGCTATCCCAGTATCAAGGGAAGTGAACATATAGCTGTTCATGCTGGAATAAAGGGAAGACAGATCTTCCTAGTGGGAAGTGCTGTTTTTGCACAGAGCTAGTTCTCTCCCGTGAAAAACTCCTTCAACATCTGTACGCAAGTAGGCTATATATTGCCTGTTCATATCCCTAGTTAGAGCTTGTCAAAGATTGGCCTGATCCATCTTATCAACCAGCTGCACAATGTAACTTGGTGGATCTTACATAGAGATGGTCAAATAAATGAGATTTACTCACTGGAATAACCCTTTTTGTAAATGGCATTTTCCTGAATCCCTCTGTAATGTTGAATGCTCGGCTTCACTTCATATATTGCATTAATTCACTTGCAGCGAGCTAGCTCATATCTGGTTCTTGCATGAGTGACAAAGCAGGGTGGGGGGATCATTTAGCCACAGTTGCAGTTCTTGGGATCTTGGGCATGAGAAGAGAGGGCATGTGACTGTCCTGCTGAGAGAGAGTGCTCACAGCTGGCTGCAAACCCAGCATGGCCTTTTCTGCTGGTACGCAAGAACAGTGACCCATCAGAGCTTTCAGATATGCAGAAAAAAGAACTGGAGGAAAAAGAAAGAGGCAGAGAGGGAGAAGAGACGAATAGGAAATAAAGTAGATGAGGAAAAGGATAAACGTGGACAGATGTTTAATACGTGACCAACTTTATTTTGGTGTACTTGGAACCTGAAAGGCACCAGCAGGATAAACAATTCAAAAACTAGCACCAGAGGCCCCAGAAACAGGTTTTTAGGTCTCACAGTTCCAAGGAAAGTTGGATTATTGTCTAAAGCAAGAACTGTATGAATTGCCAGGAGTTAAAAATGGGAAGATTAGCTAGTAAAGGTTACCTTTGTCATGCCAAAGCACTAGGCCCGGATTAAAATCTATCTGGCAAGCAGGCAATTGGATGATGTGCCCAGTAGTCTACTGCTCCTTCAAGGCTATCTGCTGGCTGCCAAATGGCAGAGAAGCTTTATTTTGCTCTGTAGAAGGGATGATTTTGAGTGCAGAAGCACACGAAGTCCTGCCCACAAAACTTGCCACAGTGTGCAGCAGAGTCCACTTAATCCCGTTTGTGCCACAGACTAACAGACAGAGCTGCCAAACAAGGAGGAAGAAGTTGCTTAATTGCTTCAGCCTGGACACTTCTTTTCCATGTACTCAGCCTTAGGTGTTTACAGGTTGAGCCCACAGGAAGAAGTCCCATACAGGCTCAATTTCAAGCAGTGCCTTTGATACTGAAATTACCATGATTTGACAAATGGTTTGTGCCATTTGCACGATCTCAGTAGCTGTTCACAGTACCCACAGGCATCGTAAGTGGCTAGTATTACTGTATACATTAAACCATTATTTCATTCTACTCTGTTTCCACGGTGTGTTTTCATGGTAGCTATATTTCCTTCCTTTGGTATTAAGGTTTGTCATTAAGATCATCAGGTCTTCATTAGGTTCAAGCCATCCGAGGACTATATTTTGGTTATTTTGATTTTTAACAGTGATGAACATCCAGCAATGTCTGCAGAAGTCTGTACTTGGTAGTACAGGAAGTCAAACCTGGGTTTGTTTACTTAAGTATGAACTGAAGAGCTGAAGTGCAGAGTATCCTACTTTGAAAAAGGTGCCTAGGGATACTAGGACTACGGTGCAGCTCCACCAGAGAGGAATTTTCCTAGTATAAATACATCCCAAAAGGTTAACCCATGCGCCTTCACAGTCCTCTGTAGCAGAGTAGAAGTCAGAAAGAAGTCAGGGTCTGAAAGAGTATCTTGTCTTTTGGTGAGAGAAAAATACATGCTTTTTTTAAAAATGGCATACCAGTTGGTGTACTTTTTCAAGTACCACTTGGGATGATTCAGTTCAAAATCTGGCAGTATAATCAATCATTGGTTAAACATGGCGTTGTAACGCTTGATGTTACAAATGCAGGTATGAACGATCCTGGGATAAAATTAACAAAACCAAGATCCTTCAGGATGCCCTGGAACGAGCTGGAAGAAAAGACCTGGCTGATAAACTTCGGTGCCTACACTGGGGCCATCAGAAATTAAGTAGAAGAGTGGAGCTTCCTTCTGCTTTCCCCTTTCTCATCACTGTGCACAAAACCATCAACAACAAAGAAGGGCTTAAGAAAATTAATCAACTTAGTCGCAAGTATCCCTAAGGTCCATCTGTCAAAACACTCTCTTTCATTTACACAACTAGAAGTGAGGCTTATTTTCACCCTTTTACAGAACTTTTAATATTTGAGCACTTGATCAGCATTAATTAATTAATCCTGGATCTAAAATGTAGTTATGTTGAAGTGCCCACTTATAAGAGATCCTTTTAGGTGGTTCAAGCTGTGTAATTAATTGGTGAAATAATTTTATCAGCATATTATTGATTTTGAAGCCTCATGCACACAAGCTAAAAGAGCACAATGATTTAGCACACAAACTAGAGACCAATTAGTTATTATAAACTTGTCAGTTATTTACTTATTAGCTAATGAACTGTGTATTTGATATTTATTTTTCTTCTCAGGATATACTTTTCCCTATGGACTTAAAGAGTACAGAATATTCAAAATTCATTATTTGAGTTATGTGATGAATTACCTAAATTGCATGGTGTTACTTGTTTTCTCTGACTTGATGTGGAAATTTATGTAGTTGGGTTACCCAACCCAAAGCTAATTTAGTTTTCTCATGAAATGTGTCTTGTGTGATTAAATATTGGCTACAGGCACATTCTGCTAATATTCTTTTCTTATGAAAAGGAAGGAAAGGTGCCAATCTTGAAAGAATTAAAAAATGATTCTAAATTAAAAAAACAGAACTGAGTGAATTCTTTTTCCACCATTGGCCCATCTTGACAGGCCCTATAGAAAATTATAGCATAAATGTTCTGTTTTTTAAAATATACTTGGAAGCATTTAGACTCAAACTTGTTACTTATATGTATTTACTCACACATTTTCCCACATACAGCATGCACTTTCCCCCAGAAAACAGCTGCTGAATATTGCAATGCAAATTATATGTGGGAAATAGAACAGTTTCTGCTGGTTATTGGCAAAAGTGAAAGTAAAATCTGCACACAACTCATGGAGCAAAACGATAAACAGGCTCTGCTGCTACTCTTACTTACTACAAAAAAGATCTTTTTTCTTCATTCTGCCTTTCAAAAACGAGGCACATACTACCTTACAGGCCACGTATGCAAAAAATATGGTACATATGTTTGCACATACACAAATCAATTGGATGTACAAATTGAAGATTACGTTAGTATGGGAAGTCTAAATGTGTGAGAAAACAGCATGGTGTTTCTACGCAACAATTTTCTTTGTTAAAATATGTTGGCATTTTCTTGATCTTCTATCATAAAGTGTTCATGTTGCTGGATATAAAATGTAATTTAATAATAAATCATAACTGTTATACTGTGAAATAAAAGTTAAATTGTCCAGTTTGAGTCTAGGGATTTAAGAGACTGCATAGAAATAAGTAAGGTTTAATACCTCATTTTGGGAATGGAAGGATGAGTGGGGAACACCTATATCAACAGTTAGACCTTGATTCAGTATGCAGTGCAGATCTACCCCAAGGCAACTTGTGTACTTTTCTGCACCAGCTTTGGGGTAGATCTGTACTGAGATGTGCAAAGTAATGAGAAACCCCTGTCTCATCTGTACTGAGATCTGCACTGATTCCCCCCTGGGGATCTTCCAAGCTCAGGTAGCAGCCTTTTCTGAGGGAGATCTCTGCAACTGTATCTACACATACATTTCCATTCTTAGCTCCTGCTATGAGTTCTAAGGCAGGAGTGAATGGTTTAGTAGTGGGCTTTATTACAAAATAAATTTAAGGGAACTGATGGAACAGAACACCTAGACGACCAGTTCCAAACTAATCCAGCTCCAGTGGCTGGAAGTTGTTACCATCTGATGACCATTAGCAATCTCAGACCAGTTCCTGCAGGCTGCATTTGTTCCCCACCTAAATGCTAACTCAGAAAGGGGCCATGGACATACAAGTGAGTGCTCTCTTCCTGTTTCTCACATCAAGATTTAAGGTACACTGATGGGAACACAGGAAAGCCTGTACTGCTGGTGCCGTGTCTATATTGAGAACTACAGGCTGATAGATGGGCAATGTCCAAAAAACAAACAAAAAAAAGACTTAAAATTTGACATGCCAGGGTGGGCCAGTAATTCCAAAAGCCACACACGGTTTAACAAAAATCCTGTCACATGATCACAGAAGAATACAGGAAAGAATAGCACAGATTTTTTTTCAATTCTTGATGTCTAAAAAAATGCCTCAATTTTATTCAACTACACAATTACAAATCAGAATTTTAATGCAACATCCACATTAACCTCCTTCTTCAAAAGATTTAAAATTTTCTACATGTTTAATCAGTGCCTCCATCTCTGCAGACTCCAACAACCTGTTGATTAGTTCATCCAGGGCCTCTTCACCAAGCAGAAATTCCTTTAAAAAGAAGGAAGCATCATGATTAGCAGAGAACAGTAATATTTTTAGAATCCTAATCAATCAAAAAATAAGAAATTCCTGGAATATAATTTGCATGGAGTTGGATCTTTATACATCAGCTTGACATTTTTGCATTATTCCCCGATGTGAATTTAGCATGGAGAGGTGTACAGCTGCCTGTCTTTGGCAGATGACTGAAAAAACACCACAAGTTTACACAGTCTCCTCTTGGCAGTAACAAAAGGAGTAACTAACATCATCTTGCCAGGCCTTCATTATTGCCTCTTTTAAACCCCACTCCCAGAAATAGTGAACTAATCTAGTAAGAACTGATGGAGAGGTAGGTTATGGTAATGCATAAAAAATGACCAATTCAATATCTTTATTCATACTGAGCAGTAGCTTAATCCATAAGAAGGGTACCAAAATCTGACCCCAAATAAATAAAAAGACGACTCGGTAATCAAGCAATCCATCTTATTGTGCAATCTTGTTTATAGAACCCAGCCTTACTCTTCTTCCCCCACACTCCTCTGATATTTGTAATTACCCTCACTCCTATGTCCTGTCTTAAGATAGTCTGTAAATGCTCCAGCACTCACTGTACTCCTTTGAGTTCTCTTTGTTGCTAAGACAACTGTTAGGCACAAGTAAATAAACACTATCTGCTCCGTGATGATAGCTACTGTAAATCTCAAAACTTACACCACAAAAGTGAAGACAAACCTTAAAATGCAAATCCAAACTCACTCTTCAAGCCATCTGATCCAAACTCACCCAAACATTTAACTCATGCAAAGGTCCCAGCCAGCCCTGCTCAGGGAAGCATGTACAGCCTGGAGGTGGCTGGGGACTGTCCTAGCTGCTACCTGCCGCAGCAGCAGATCAGGGCAGGGGGCTAGGACCTGCCTCTCCCCTGCAGCTCTTTCCAAGCCCTGTGCCCCTGATCAGGAAGCCAGGGCCAGGAGCTCCCTGCTGCCACAGCAGGGGGACATTGTCCCCACCCCAGCAACAGGCAGTCCCTCAGCTAGCACCAAGGGGGAGCCTAGAGCTCTTCCCAGGGGCAGCAGGGCCCACTGCAGGGCTGCAAGGACCTGGGTGCAAATCTACTCTCTAATCCCCACATGCATAGACACCTACCCAAAAACCCTTACTCAGCAGTAGCTTAGTGCACAGTAAACCTAGGCTAGAGTAAACGCATGTATAGACACCCAATATGTAGTAACACTGCCCCCATATGTTGCACATGTTCAAAGGAAAAAATTAATTGCATGTAGAATTTTAATCAGAACATAATTTATCATTTGAAAGAAAATGGAAATAACCCTTTCTAAGGTGATTTGGAAGGTCAAAAAAATTGATATTTGTCCTTTTGGCCTTCATTCATAACAAAGATCTTGAAAGATTTTTTTTCAAAATAAACTTTTCTACTTGCTTTTTACCCTACAAATATCAGGAATGTCACTCCCCTCCTGACTTTTCCTGAAGTTCCCAAGAAGAATTATGTGCTTCATCTGTCCTCCTTCTTGCAACAGGAAGAAGTACTGTATAAACAAAGTTAGGTCTGTGGTTTTTGCCCCCCCCCTTTCTACTATATTTGTGAGCAATACAGGAAAATACCATATCTAATCAAATCTTAAATTAGATTTGTTTCTCTAATCAACATGGGATTAAAAGCCCCTTGTCTTAAATTCACATACAAAGTGGGGAGGGAGCAGGGAGCTGGCTGCTGTGGCTTTGACTCTGGCCCTGAGTCCAGGTCAGGGCCAGAATCAGAGCCACAGCAGCCTCCTGCCCCTGCCTCCGCCTTTTTCTGCACTTCTGCCACCAACCCCCACCCGTTTTCCTCTCCTTATTGTCAGGCATGGCTCAGCTCTGGTTCAGGCTGGATTTCCTCCTGGACACAGAGCACATGGAAACTGTCCCCTGCCCAGCAGATCAGCAGCTGCATTGTCTGCCTGGCCTGGTGAGGGCTGAGCTTCCACATGCTGTGCTTCAGGATAGCCCTTGCAGTGTCTCACAGTAAGGGAGGGGGGAGGGACAGAAGCTATGGAAAGCTGGGGAAGGGGGGGTGCCACTGCCAGGGGAGTAGGAAGGCTGCAAAAGGGAAGAAGTGGAGGGTAGGCAGAGGGCAAGAGGGCCACCTGCCCCCCTCCCACCTCCACCTGACCCTCCCTGAGGATGGGAGGGGGACAATAATTAAGATTCTATACCTGGACAATTAAAACATTCATAATTTTTCCATATATAGAATAAAATTATTGGGGAGACTTCTTAAATTCAGGGTCAACTTAAGATTTGAGTAACTACAATAGTATTCTTAGAATGCTAAACAAAATCAAGAAATAGGAAGTTTCTGGAATATCATTTGCATGAGGTTTTTGCCCCCCTTTAATCGTATAATTTTATAATTTAACAATATAATGTTCACAACAATTTCTGAAAACACTTAAGCTTTCCCAAACTAGAACAATAGCTTATAATTTATCACGTCTTCTTGATCTATTTATTAATCACTTTCACAAGTTTACATTTAGTTTTCTACATAAAAATTTCTCTATGTGCATACACAGGTTTATCTTTGAAGGGTTTTACATAAATTATAATAAAAAATACCTTTATATTTCGGACTTCATATGAGATCCTGTGGTCACTGACTCTATCCTGTGTGAAGTTATAGGTACGAATTCTCTCCGACTGGCTTCTTGTTTCCAACTGTGCAATGACAACTTATATTATTTCTTGAGTTTTAAAATTTAAAATCCTTTAAAACCAGCAGACAAACATTCTGAGTTAGACTTCAATGGATCAACCTTTTTCATGCCTCCAATACTGCATTTACAGCCTCATAGATAATTTGCTGGATTCAGGCCTGTTCTTTCTGTCAAAATTCTGTTTATACTGCAGACCAAGTTTTCAGACAGCCTCCAGCTCACCTATTCTGTACTGGCTATAAAGTGGTAACATGAGTCAAAAGTAGTTTGAAAAACCTAAATCAGCACTCACGTCAGTTGACATGGTCTACCCATGATTTAGGTCACCTGAGCAAAAAGCTACTATTTTGCAGTAAGGCTTAGGCCATGTCTATACCTCTTCCATGTAAGGCCCGAGATTGCTGCCCGCTCACTCTGCCTACTCATTCCCTAGCAACTGGATTCCCAAGTGGCCAACTCAGATAGGTCCAGCCCCACTGTCAGGGCCATCTAAGCTAGACAGGGCTCCATCTCATTGCTAAGTTTTGGCTCTGGTGGAGCAGAACAAGTGGATGGGGTTTGTTCCTCAGCAGCAGTCCTGGGCTTGGTAGCAAAGATGTGATTTTTGAGTAGAACCAAGCACTGGAGCAAAGTATATATAATATACTTACATGGCAAGCCTGATCCTGCAAAAATGTATGCATAACAGTAATGTATGCATGAGATCCTGCAAAAATGTATACATCTGTAGTCTCACAAGTGAGTAAACTCAGCCATGGGCAGAAGTGTTTAAGGTCTGGGGCTTGTTCTGAAACCCACTGTATTTACAGGCAAGTTGACAAAACATACAAAGCCAGATTTTTTAAAGACATTTAGGCTCTTAAGGTCTGGACAGGCATTGGACACGGAGAGAGAGGCGTTTAAAAAATCCCACTGGGCACCTATGTGCATCTTTACATGCCTAAAAGCTTAATATCTGGCCCTTCATTGCTAAAGAAAATGTAACATGCAGTTTTTGCTGCCAAAAGCAGCCCTGGCTGAACTAGTTAGATAGTCTCCATTATAAGTCACCAATATCTAATGCTCATATTTCGTGGGGGGTGGTGGAAGGG